ATTTCATACTTACCTTTTATAGGTACCTAAGCTATACCTCGATAATGTAGTAAGTAACAACAAAGCCTTGATGGTTAAGGAATTCGACGAGCTAATAACTAAGGTGGAATGAATGAGACATACATAATAGATTTCAACAGTTCAATCTGAAAACCTTGCAAGTTCTCGTGAAAATTAACCATATAAAATGATTGGATTAGTAGGTCCTTATCTACCCTAGGTAATCTATAATCAAGGGAGAAGCTCGTCCTCGTATAATAAGCTATGAAAAATTAAGCATCCAGCATATAACTACCCACAATTTGTAGAATTCAAGCCAGCATCACTATGTTTGTACCGGAGTTTACCTCTTTTCAAAGATCCGTCGTAACTTCCCGCTTCTGGGTGGATATGTAACGGTGCAATCATGCCTGGGTATCTGCATACTATTGATGATCAGATATGCATCCATACCCGGCCACTTGCATATAGGGGTCTTGCATCATCCATAAGAAGTCTTACTCTGGAACCACTGAGACCCCAGAGCAAAGATCTTACGGTGCATGAACGTTTCAGTCACAGATAAGCCCGTAGTTATTCGCTTAATGGCAGAGTTGCTTTCTCAAGTATCTCCCATCATGACGCCTTCGATATACTATCAACTGAAGTAGTAGTATTGTCAGGATTCTAGATGAGACCCCTAAAACAAAGACCATGTTTAGTATGTATAGACATATATCCTCGCAGATAGATTAGAGCTCCTCGCGGAACAACGAAGTTGTTTCCTTACTGTTTAGTTCCACCTCGTGACAAGTATTTTATATTTTATGTGTAGTTTTAAAGCGACTGTATCGAGACCCCTGCATCCATCCACACTTCACGTATTCAGTGGCACCTTGCTCACACAACACGACACGCGCTTAGAAAAATCGTACTGATCGCCAACAAGGTTGCCATCATTTCCCTGCCTCTTGAATTGCCGCCGCCCCATATAATACTGAGAGATGATAGCTGGAGAGATAGGCATACCCTTGTGAGAACTGGCCTGGTCGAGTATCAACAACCTAGACCGGATGGAGTATTTGAACTTCACTAGGCTCACGCTAGAACTACCATACAGCTTCAACCCCCCGAAAGCCAGCATGTGGTGAGCGAGGTCGCATTCAGAAAAGGCCGATAAATTCATCTATTGTTACACTTTAAATTGCGCTATCAAGTCACTGACGAGAAAATCATGTTATGCAATAGAAAAAGCCTACGTATCGCCGATGGGTAGCAACTTTAGCTACTACGGACTTTAAACTATTATCGCCGCCGTCTTAAATTTCATCTATTTATCCGCGACTTCGGACGCAGAAATCATTAACTACCATGTATAGAAATCATCTATTCTTCTATTGCAGTTTTACATATTTGGTTCGGTACATGAGAGCAATCATGGCTCGATGCAACTTATCAAAAAGCAGTGAGACGGGTGGTTCTAGCTCTAACGTTATATGCTATGTAATTAAGATATAGGTAAACGTACTTATATTCTTATGTGCTTGAAGAGACATAATCGGCTGGATAGGGTGTGCATATTTGATTGGCTAAGACTCTTGTTTACTTTACCCCTTTTAATTATTTTATTGCCGACCACAAGTCGTCGACGAAGCTCCAACGTTTCCTATACAACGATATGACTTAGTCAATCTAACTCGGAACTCCTTCTATTCCCTTCGGATTTCCCAATGCCCCTGGAAAAACATTTTGTAACACCCTTTATTTGGATATCGTATTTGCGCACCTCTTCTAACTTCCCTGTCTTAGCCACTATCGAATCTAGTGCATCCGTTCTGGATAGTCCTGCGCAATGATGTTGCTGAAATATCTTTTAACTCAACTTCTTTATAGCGGTGCTACTTGTATCTCAGGTGACCCAGCTTCTACTCTCCTTCTTAGCCCCTGACCCTACGGTCTGCTTAGATCATAGGGGAAATCAGCCATGATGGCAGCCGCAGCGAAGTGAAACATATGCTTTGTATTTACAATTTGCAAAGGAGACTTACCTACTAGCAAATTTTAAACCGAATAGTCCGGTGCCGATTGTGTGGTAGAGCGAACAAAGGCTAATATTCGCAAATACAAACGCATACTTTGTTCCATTTCCAAGAGACAGCTTTGGTAATTCAAAGAGTTGAGCTACGATCAAGTTTCGTTCTTGTGTAGCCTAGCATTATACAAAACTCCCCTACCCTCTTACGCACTAGATCCTTCAAAGTTCATATCGGAACTCCCTATTCTGCAAATCTGTTAGGTCTAAAAACTCGTGGTTCTCTTCGGGCCTATAAGTCCCATCAAGCACCGCTTTTTCCTGTTCTCGCTGCTTATTCCGTCTATCCAATACCCACCGCATCACTACTAGGTCAATAGTAATAAGGACATAGATAATACAAATTGAAATCTTAGCTGGGAGGTAGCGTGGCGCGTCCCGAGCTTGGAACGTTTGCGGTGAGATGATATTGCCAACGGTGTAAGCGATCGTCCCTATGCAAGCGACCGTAATTTTCTTCATTGATCCTGCCACGTTCGAGCTCTGAAGCCCAAGAATTGTGGTCCAGCCAATTGGAATACCACCGCTCGTATAGTAGCCGACCAAAGCAGGCACCCGTTCAGTCGTAGCCATCAGTATAGCACCAACTATCGCAGGGATATGACCAGCAATACAAAAGTACAGCCTCTGTCTCATCTTCATCGCGCCATACGTAAGGCCTATTAACGCTACCACCTCCCAGGCGCCCAGTGGAGTTACCAATAACAAAGATTCTTCGCTAGAGTAGCCCATACCCTTCACCAAAATATTCCCGAAGGATGTAGCGATTGAGTTAGGGATGTTGGCCGCAAAAATCCAGAATGCGTATAGCCAAGTCATCGTGTCAGTTAACGCTTCTTTCACCTGGTCCCATTTGAAAGTTTGCGACCCGATGCCCTGTTCATTATGCCTAATACGTTCGAGGTGAAGCCCCTTTTGCTCCTTGTCAAGGAATCCCGCAACGGCGGGGGAATCTGGCATAACGAACCAAAACGCAATTCCAATGGCTGCGGTGAGTAGACCTAGAAATAAGAAGATAATTTGCCAGCCCTTTAAGGCTGCGTTTGGGTCTTTTCCTACATGTGTGGCCACGCCATACGCGAAAAACCCTCCAAACATCTGCGCTGCTCCGCACATGGAGAACCATATACCTACACGAAAGGCCTGTTCCTCTTTCGTGTACCATTGAGAGGTAAATAACACCCATGCCGGCACCACGGCTGCCTCCAAAACTCCAAGAAAAAACCGACACACCAATAACCCGGCATAGTTCTTGCAAGCTGCAAGGCAGGCTAGAGTTGCACCCCAGAATGTCACATTGATTGAAGTGTACTTAGCAAGAGGGAATAGTTGTATCAAACGAATTGTCGGGAACTCAAAGGCGAGCTGGCCGAAGAAGAAGATAGACGCTACCCAGTTAAACTCATTACCTTTGAGTCCAATAGATTCTGTTATGCCGGTAACACTGGCATAGGAGATGGCAGTCTTATCGATATACTGGAGGAAGTCTGCTATACGTTAGTAAAAGGCCCCCTGATACATGTGGCTTTGCGTCCTTTCTAGCATAGCTCAGAAAAAATAGAAAGGAGGGCAAGTATGGTGATCGTAGTCACATACAGACTATGCAAATTAGCGGCATGATATGCCAGTCGATACGCCTAACGAGTCTTCCATGAACTTCAGGATCAACAACCTGATGTACGCCGCCAGTTTCCTTCAGAAGTTCCAGAGCTGCATCGGCACCGGACTTGAAGGTTTTATGTACGCCAACCGAAGCAGACTTTGTCGCATGCTCCTCTGAGCTCGATTTGGCTTGAGCCGAGCCATTGGCTACTTCCGGCGCCAGGACATCTCTATCTTTTGTGTATGAATCAGCCATCTCGACCATGAACACGATTGAATCGTCGGGACTAGTTTAGGATCGTGGGAAATAGTAAAATTAACACAATCTAAGAAAAGGTTCAGCTCGTCAAACGTCACCATAATAAGATAGATTACCCACATTGATTTCATGCTGTGCAATGATATAGCATAATTCTCCAAGCACGTCATTTGAGGGCTGATGATGCCACGAGGCTGACAAGGATTACAAGCAGCCAATTTGCCAATCACGACGAGCTAGTATTTAACGACAGAGTCTAGAATACATGAATATCGAAATACAAAGTTATCAAAATTCTGGTAACTGCAAACCCTTCCCATCTTATTACTTATGATAATTGATTCTTAATATTAGACGCAATATTTAGGTAGTATTTAATATCTTTTTGAGAACCAACAACATAAAAGATTAATTACCGACAAGCAACAGGGAGACTTCTATACAAGTTATCCACGTTGTCTTAGTCTTCAATGTGGCGTCATTCTTTAGGGAACCTCCCTGAAATAAATAGTAACGCCTATATGTTATACATATCCAACTGAGTCATTATACGTGCTATGCACCGCCTAACAAAGATGCGTTACTGATCGATTTCTGACGAGCATGGATGCTACTATCAAGTGCCTGGCCAAAGAAAGGGATATCATCAGTCATCTTAGTTATGCAATTAGGTTGTTATTGCTGTTCTTGGTGAATAAGACTCAGGATTAGCTGTGTATAAATGTGCCTAGATCTCTTCGTTAGGAATTGAGGAGGTGTATTAAACCAAAAGGATAGATTTAGGCTGTCACTAACGCCTCCTATTCACCCCTGAAAATACGCTGGAAGCATCGAAGAACTTCAAGATGATCGTTAATAAAACCCTCGTATTTAAGAAGATCTTAGATGGGCTACTGGTGTCTGCATCGCACTTCGTAGTTGAGGGCCGGCCCATTCGGTCTCGATACCGTGCTAGGAGGCGGTGCTATAGTCGAGGTATTACCTGTGTCACTAAATCCATACTTGAGAATACGTATGCGCGACGCCAATATCCCTATGTTCAGTGATTCCTGTATTACAGATAACGCCATGACAAGTATTGATATTGGCAGTATCCTAAGCTCCAATAACAGCCGGTTTTTCCCTAGCGATGCCATCTACATGGAGCTGCCCTTTCCACAATACGCTTCTCTCGCCCCTCAGGAACTCCAAGGCGCTATCAAGATTGACAGTAATTATGATTTAGACTACGTTATATTAAAGCCTATCTCCTTTACTTAAACTTATTCTAAGAACTAACCCTCCCTTAATCGAGCTTTTCTCGGGGTTTTTAAGAGAAGAGTCACTGGCGTTCATCATTCATAATAGACTACTTCACCGGTCCGCTTGGCGGGATCGGGCTGACAGCCTTTTCACCATTATACAAAATTGGCCAGCCCAAGAAGGGAGATATCATATTCGTCAGTTCCGCCGCCGGTGCCGTCGATTCTGTGGTCGGGCAGCTAGCTAAGCGTGAGGGTTTGATGGTGATTGGGTCCGTGGGATCCGACGAGAAGCTGGACTTCTTTATAGTTGAATCCGTCGTCGAAGCCTGACTCACTCACAATAAGGAGAAGCCGATGGAGGCTCTAGCGCAACTCGCACAGAAGGGGTTCGATACCTACTACGAGAATGCTGGCGGCTCGCACTTGGAAGCAGCGCTTCGGCACATCCGTGCGAGAGGCGGCGTAATAGTGTGCGGCGTGATTGAGGGTACAACACTTCGTTCGAGGAAAGCTATGGTGTGAAGAATGCGTTTGAGATTTTCTTCAAGCGATTGGCATTGACTGGGTTCATTGTAACTGATGAAGATTTCGGCCCGGCGTACTTCCAGCAACATCAGGAGACCCTGCAGAAGTGGATTGCGGAGTGTAGCTTCAAAGTCAAGCTTCACATCATCCACGGTATCGACAACGCACCTGAAAGCTTCAAAGAACTATATCAGAGTAAAAACTTCGGCAAAGCCCTGGTTAAGATCAAGGGGTAAACTCCACCTTCACTCTTGGTTTATGGTTCGTGCCTAAGAACGTGGATATGTACTCTGGTTAGGGGAGATAGCTTCACAAACTAGGATTGATAGTAATGATTCAACGCTCTTAACTTACTACCTAGGTCTAATATAACTATCACGGCGTTAACTAGGAATTATGTCGTAAATCCTGCCGTTCATTTTTCACGCTGGCTTCATGGATGTTCTAACGGAACCATATTGTTCCCCCTGCTTCGCCCCCAATGCGCATTAAAGAGGAAGGGCAATCACATGATGGACATATTACACCAACTACAAGCATACTTGTGTCGTAGAATAAAATAAAATAAACACGCGTCAAGCGGTCACCTGAACCCAGAGTCCCAGACACGTCATCGGCTGTACGCCCCGATTTCTGGCTCCAGGGGCTTAGGTTTTACCTGCTCCCCTGTTTGTATCATTCCGCGCTTGCTTGATACAGTATAGGGCTCGTCGGCCAAAGCCACACCGTACGCGTTGTTGTCCCGCTTGTGCAGCGGAGCGAATTACGGCTTCTACACAAGCCCGTGCAGCCGTGTAAGTAGATGACGCAGGAAGCCGTTGACTTTTAGTATTACTTGTGATACAGTGGGAAATAAAATAAAGAGTGATGATTATGTGTTTATTGGCTACCTAGGTAATTTACTATGAAGACAACTTAGCCAAGGTAAGCACAAATAGGTAACTGAACAAGCCTAGGACCAAGTATTGAAGGCAATTATAGGTTCTCAGAGGATTATGGGTTTCTCCATCCCCAATACTTCGGTGCAACGCATATTGGAACTTCGGTATTGCAACTTTAACAGGTACACATACAACACTCGACTTTACTGAGGTATTTAGTTAGTCATGAAAATCATTTCCCATCCTTATCGAACTTAGATGCAACTCCACTGTAATTGTCCATCTCAAGGTATAACCCCCTAAGAAAGGAAATATGACATGAAGACTAAGGTACGGCCGATAGAGGCTAGACTGGTCAACTCATTTTGCTTTAAGAGGATAGTGAAACCTCAAACTCAAGATGAATTACCAGTTGCAGCTTCACGCCATCCATAAGTCCATCCCCCCTGGACCACAACGCCAAACATCAAAATCCGGCTCTAGAATAGAACTAGCTTAGGTGGTGATATTTTCGAATCGTATCAGTACAACGACGGAGGTGACTCAGTTTTCTAGATCTGGGGAGTAAAAGGCGTCTGGGGATTAAGATCATTCGGGCTCTCCAGAGTAGATTCGTTGACCTCAAATATGGACAGCCGAAAAGAATTAAATAATACAAAGAGAATTAAAGTAACGTCAAGACCGTTGCAATGGGGGGATTATATTATGTAACGATTGTTATGGTCCGAACTGCAATTTATCCTTACGCATTTCCAGGGATTGTAGGGTAAACTAGATCATGTTAACGTCTGCAACAGGTAAGAGGTAAAAATGAAAAATGAAAACTTACACCATGCGCATGTAGCGATGATCGCATACAGACATACCAAAATGAGACCCTCAAGCCAATGGCTCTTCCCATCACCGATCAAATAGTTGACTAGGAGGACGGAAACGAAAAGAACAATAACCTGGAACGTATCGAAAGCTAGGGTCATCTCCTGGTTACCCATACCCCAACCGATAATAATAAGGAGTGGGATGAGAAGAAGGGCGACCTGCATAGACGATCCAATAGCGACACCAATAGCGAGATCCATCTTGTCCTTAATGGCAACAGTAACGGCGGTTGCGTGCTCGCAGGCATTGCCGACGATCGGGAGGAGAATAAGACCGACGAATTCCTCACTGACGGCACCTGTCGAAGTAATGGCCTCGATACCACTAACCATACCCTCCGCGCAGAGCGCAATGATAACGGTAGCACCGATGAGGGTAGCAAAAGCGACGGCGAAGCTAAGCTGAGGTCCTTCTTCCTCATCGTCGTCCACGTGCCCGAGAGGGTTCATCATTATCTCGCTGAGTTTGCCCTCCTCGTCGTGAACACCGGCGTGGGTAGCTCCAGCACCTGCTCTCGCAATGCCGGAAGCAACAGCACCCTCCGGGAGACCCTTCTTAAAGATCGGCTTGCTTGCAACTTTCTGGCTTTCCTCGTTGAACAACGTCACGTGAGTTTTCATCTGGAAGAAAAGATACGAGGCATATACGATTAGTAGGATAAGCGCAACGCCGTGAGATAGGCTCGGGACGGCATTGGGGCTTAGCTGGATAGAACCCTCATTTAGATCGTCGGTATGTGCGAAGACGGTGGGTACGATAAGACTTCCTACGGCCAGAGCCAGTAGACTGGCAGCAGTCTGGGCTACGGTGGTATTGAAGTATTGCTCTCGACGGTTGATGCCGCCGCAGAAGAAGCAGAAGCCTAGGACAAGAAGTAGGTTGGATAGAATACTGCCGACTAGAGACGTCTGTACAACCTTGATCTGATTCTTTGTGAGAGCGATGATGGCCACAATCAGCTCAACAGCATTACTTGTTCAAATTAGCACATTTCAACCCTATTCTTCTATGGGACATTTATACTTACCCAAAAGACGCGTTTATTAGTCCTCCAAGAACTTCTCCAGTTCGCATCGCAATCTCTTCAGTAGCATTGCTTAGCATCGCAGCGAGAGGCACGATGGCGACGAAGTTGACACCGAATACAACTCTACCGTCAAAGTTCAGAAAGTGTAGAGCAATACCCGCAGGCGCAGCGAGTACGAGTATATTGATCGGAGAACCGAAAAATACGCGCTGGATTTGATTTCGAACGGTGAATGGCTCGGCAGGTTCGATATGCTTGAAGAAACCGCCGGTGTTCGTCTTCTTGGGCTTCTCGTCCTCTTCAAAAATTTCGGGCTTGGTTGAGGTATTTTCCTGGGCACCACGATGTCGCACACTATTACTATCGAGATCATTTCCAACAGTCGTCGCCTGTGATACAAATGTCTCGCCCTGATCCGCATGGTCAACCGCGTGGCTACCTTCTAGCTCCTTACTATTCCGTGCCGACTGGTTGACGGGCGTTAGAAGACGACCTGGCGCGCTTGTAGATGGTCCTAGGTGCGCTATATCGCCATCACCGGTTGATATTCCTCGCTCAGCTGCATCTATCGTACTTGATCGCTTCGGTGCTCCATAGGCTATGTGTCTAAACGGATTAAAGCGAGCACTGCCGCCGGAATCGCGCCGACTCATACGATGGGCCTTAGCCTTGATTTTTCTCATATTCACTGTATTCCAATCCATGAAGTAAGTATGCGTCCAATAATACGGGGTTAGTTTTGTTATCAGCTTGCTCGGCTTGCGCTGCTGGCTTTGCGGTACTGCGCAAGTAAAGACTAAAAGGAAAACATAAACGGGATAAAATGAAGCTTATGTGGCTATTGAAGACAAAATCAATGCCTTTATGCTAACAGCTGATGCTTGGTGTTGTTTTTGGCGAGAAACGTGGCAGAGCAAAGTAAGAATAGATTCGAGGCAGTAGCGTAAGCCGTACAAATAGGCAGGTCGAATTTCTGATAGATAGAGTGAAGCATGCTTGACGCTAAAATTGTAGCGTAGAAATCCTGACGGAAGAGTCGAAGAATGACAAGTTCGTCACTAGGTGAATAGTTGGTGACAATGATGGAATAGGAGTAGACCATAATATCCATGATTATCGAGTCGCCACCTTCACCTATCAATAATAATAAATGAGGTTTAAACAGTCAATTGCTTTGACTCCGCAAGTAATTTGTGCCTTTATCTTTGTGATCATTGATCATATCGCCCTGCTCTGCCGCGTTCTTTGTCCACGCCTAAACTGAAAGGCGTACGAGGCCTTTTTTTAGGTTTCAATTCCAACGCAACAAAGATTAACTTACATTCGTCGCCCATCTTGAAGAGGCTCTCTCGATGTCGGCTTCAGCCTTCTTAAAATATGGGTACTCGCGGTAGGCAGGCTCTACGGCTGCCTTGTAAAGACGATTGGGGGCCGTTTATGGGGTTTGGTAGACGTATCTCGGCAATCGGCTCGCCTTTTTATCAATTTGGAAAGGTACGCCTTCGAGCGTGTAATTCTATAGCCTCTGCTATTGGACGTGACCCTTTAGTACCTAGGCAAGCTCTATAATCGAGTCTTTTTGATAGATCTAGAGTAATCCGGGGAAATCGTATCAAGAATTCTTGGTGGCGTCTAATATTGTTGTTATTTTGTTAGACCGCAAGATGGCGGCGAGGACTCCAGAATAGAAATAAAAGAGTTAAATATGGTATAACTTAATGGGGAACGAGCGTTAAGAAGACCAAGATGTTGTGTTCGTCGTCGCTGAGGGAACCCTTGATGGCAAGGCAGACTTAATAATAATGGCTTAAACAACTGGAAAAACCAAAGCGGACGCGATAAATCTTGTAAAGGAAATCCCTTTATTCAATAGTATTAATGTTAGGGGGTACAAGATGTAGGTACATGCAGCCAGGGTTGTATGGAATTAATGTCCCGGCATATTATGTACCTAAGGTACCTACAAGGTACATCTATGTAGAGATTGGTGCATTATTGATGTCTTTCTCCACAGCAGGACAGTACATATATACTTAGATGTTCTAATCAGATTATGCACGATACATTAGGTAGGTACCTATGTATGTATATCCATGTAGGCCGCACAACTTAAGGCGAATTGAAGTACGTTGTAAATTCCGGGAGGCCTCAGTTGCATCGTAGAAGCGCTGGCTGCTACGTAGGTATGTATAGGATCCCATTTTATATTTGCTCTTTACATGTTCAATTGGACCTTATGCTATACCAGTTTTGCCTGTTTACATATTTGATATCCATATTTATTAAGATGTAGTCTCAGTTTTAAATCAAGCTCATGAAGAAATGGCGCTTAGGAATCAAGCTTTAAGGTCTAGCAGCCCCACAAAACATAGCGCCAATGTGTTGATGTATCTAGCAGGGGTAGTTGTGTACTTTAAGTATTTCTGTTGAAGCTGTACATATTTAACTA